TTGTGCACAGCATGCATCGGCCGCCACATACTCGGCTTCAGCAGTGGAAAGGGCTACCGAATTTTGCTTCTTAGAGCTCCAAGACACTAGAAACCATCCAAGGAATTGACATGTCCCTGATGTACTTTTTATTTCTACTTTGCAATCGATGTAATCGGAATCTTAATACCCAAGTAGATTGAAATTGGAGCCCTTAGGATACCACAAGTTAAAGTTAGGAGTGTGTACTAAATATCTCAGGATTCTCTTAACAGCCATAAGATGGCACTCTTTTGGGTTAGCTTGAAATCTAGTACACATGCACACACTAAGCATAATATTCGGCCTAGATACACATAAGTAAAGTAGGGAGCCGATCATAGAACGATATACCTTTTGGTCAATGGCTTTCCCATCTTTATCCAAGTCTAAGTGCCTATTTGTTGGCATAGGTGTCTTGATGGGTTTGGCATTTGCCATGTCAAACTTCTTGAGTATATCCCTTGTGTACTTAGTTTGGCATATGAATGTCCCTTCCTTCAATTGCTTGACTTGAAACCAGAGGAAGAACGTCAATTCACCCATCATAGATATCTCAAACCTCTTTGTCATAATCCTACTAAATTCTTCATAAAAAGTTTGATTAGTACTACCAAATATTATATCATCGACATATATTTGGCACACAAATATATCATTCTTAATCTTTCTTGTGAAGAGAGTAGTGTCGACTTTGCCTATTTCAAAGCCTTGCTTGAGCAAGAAATCCTTAAGGCATTCATACCATACTCTTGGTGCTTGCTTAAGCCCATAGAGCGCCTTATGGAGCTTGTAGACAAGATGAGGATGCTTAGGATCTTTAAATCCCGGTGGTTGCTCCACATAGATTAGCTCAAAGAATGGACCATTGAGGAAAGCACTCTTCACATATATTTGATATAGCTTGAAATCATGATGGATAGCAAAGGCTAGAAGCATCCAAATTGCTTCAAGTCTTGTCACCGGTGCAAATGTCTCTTTGAAGTCTATCCCTTCAACTTGAGTGAACCCTTGAGCAACCAATCTTACCTTGTTCCTTGTCACCACACCATGTTCATCTTGCTTGTTTTGGAAGACCCACTTGGTGTCAATCACATTAGTCTTGGGTCTTTCCACCAACTCCTATACTTGATTTCTCTCGAAGTTGTTCAACTCTTCTTCCATAGCTATCACCCAATTCGGATCCTTAAGAGCTTCATCTACCTTAAGTGGTTCTAAGGAGGAAACAAACGAGTAAAATTGGCAAAAATTTGCTAGACGAGATCGAGTTGTTACCCCTTTCTTATGCTCACAAGGATGTTGTCAACGTGATGGTCCCGTTGTACACTTTGATGGACTCTTGGGTGAGGTGGTCTGCTTGAAGGTTGATGTAGGGGTTGGTTGTCATCATCTTCATCAGCTTGAGGCTCATCATCTTGAATATGTTCATCCTCTTACTGATTGTTGTCCCAGACCCCGGAGCCTCCGCGTCCTGCATGTTCACAGGACCTAGAATAGCAGTTGGCCCTTGGAGTGGTGTTGAAGCTTGGAGTGGAGGATCTTCTTCTTTAGTAGCTTCAACTGGTCTCACATCACCTGTGGCCATATGCTTGATTGCTTCATAAGGCGAATCTTCTTTTCCTACAACATCTTGATCAACTTGCTCCACTTGAGAGCCATTAGATTCATCAAACGTCAAGTCTACCGTGATTTCAATTCTTCTGGTAGAAAGATTAAAAACCTGATAGGCGTGCTCGTTTGGACCATAACCAAGAAGAAAGCCTTACTCAATCTTAGGTGCAAATTTAGAGTTTCTAGACTTCTTGTTAAGAATGAAGCATTTGCACCCAAATACTCTAAAGTATGACACCTTGGATTTGTTACCGGTTAGGAGCTCATATGAAGTCTTCTTGTAGTACTTGTGAAGATAGAGACGGTTGATATCATGACAAGCGGTGTTGATTGCTTCGGCCCAATAGTTGTCCGGAGTCTTGTACTCATCAAGCATTGTTCTTGCCATGTCAATGGGAGTGAGATTCTTCCTCTCAACCACCCTATTTTGTTGAGGGGTATATGGAGCCAAAAATTCATGCTTGATGCCCTCCTCATCAAGAAACTCTTCAACGTTGGTGTTGCGGAATTCGATGCCATTGTCACTTCGCACCTTCTTGATAGGTAGCCCGAACTCCCTTTGTGCTCTTCTAATGAAGGTCTTCACCTTCCCTTGCACTTCACTCTTATCATACATAAAGAACACCCACGTGAAGCGAGAATAATCATCAACAATAATAAGACCATATTTGTTACCACCAATGCTAACATAGGCAACCGGTCCAAAGAGATCTATGTGGATGAGCTCCAATGGACTTGAGGTAGTGACGATGCTCTTTGGTGGGTGTGGTACGCCTACTCGCTTTCTGGCTTGGCATGCTTTACATATCCTATCTTTCTAAAATTGAACATTCGTTAGTGTAAGGATGTGTTCCTCCTTTAGAAGTTTGGCCAAGTTCCTCATCCCAACATGAGCTAATTGACGATGCCATAACCAACCCATGCTAGATTTAGCCACTAAACAAGTCTCAAGCGTTGCTTTACTTTTGTTGAAGTCAATTAGGTAAAGCTTGCCCTTCAAGCGACCCGTAAAAGCAATAGAGGAATCCTCCCTTCTAATGGTGGTCACACCCTTATCTGTAAAGTGACAATCATAGCCCATCTCACATAATTATGATACGGACAATAAATTGTAACTTAACGAATCAACATGTAAAATATTGGAAATTAAATGATCTTGAGTTATAGAGATTTTACCAACACCAAGCACTTCTCCTTTTGAATTATCCCCAAATACTATGTTCTCACTTGGACCTTCCATTTGGGCATAAGATGAGAACATACTCTTCTCTCTGATCATATGATTTGTACATCCACTATCAAGCACCTAACTTAATCCACCGGAGGAGTATGCCTGCAAAACAAGTTTAGTTCCTTCTTTTAGGTTCCCAATTAGCATGGGGGCCTTGAGTGTTAGCCACTAGAATTTTAGGAACCCATAGAGATTTTTTACATATATGTTGGACTCATTTCCAACATACGTGGCAACAACTTTACCAAGGTTGTTGCCTCTCAACACATAGCTAGAGGACATACTCTCATGGGGTGCATGGGCCTTGGGCTTATAAGCATACTTGTTCCTCTTTGGTATGATTGGGTTCTCCTTGACCTGTAGACGAGTGTTAGATGCTTTAGAAGCTTGTTGTCTTGGTTGAGATGGTGCCATGGTTCTGTTGGTGCCACTGTTCTGCTAGATCCGGAACCTCCATGTTTTGGCATGGAGCCTCCAGGGTGCGGAGGTTCCACGCAGGCCAGAGTAGATAAGAATTCAGCCCGGTTGGTTTTTTTGTGGCTGGGATTATTTAAGATGTAGATGGAGTTTTGAGCACTTGGTTTCACCCAACACACCATTAGTATCTCCCTTGATAGTATTGCTTGTCCTATGACTCAATTTCAAAATATAAAATAAATTAAACTAGCTCTTGGAGCCGTGGCAAGCCATCCATTCAAGTTAGGGGGTCTCTCCTTTGTTTCTTTGCATCCACGATTAAAGATATGCTGTCAAACACTTGTCATAGCCATTAGCCATTTAATTATGTGGTCAACATCACCAAAACCCACTTAGAGCTTGATTGCACTTACACCCATGTCTCACTGTAGTTAGCGTAGATGTTGTGAATCATGGTAGGTTTGAGCTTCGTCATGGCAAACGCGGCGCTTTGAGGAGTGTTGCTGGAAGTGCAGGAGCCGTGACGCCGCAACTAGCGTTCGTTTGCAAGAAAGACGAGGAGCACCGGTAGGCCGGAGAACAATGTCGTGCCGTGCAACTAGGGAAATGACACACTGCACCTAGGATGGTGCTCGTGGTGGTGCCATGCGCGTGGTGGTCGTGAAACATGGAGGTAATGTTGTGCCTGTTGCTGTTCACTGTGTGGAGGTGGTGTTGTTTTTTTGGACAAGTGGAGGTGGTGTTGTTCCTAGGGCCTCATGAAAATGGATAAAGCTCGGGAGGGGCTAGTGCATATTTTCAGGTCTTTCAAAGGTTCTATCACTAAATAACATAAGCGATTTAGAAATGCAATTTAAAAGTTTATAGACCTAAATGGCACACCCAAGTTGAAAGGCAAACTCAAGAATCTTTTTTAAGTGAATAGTCAAATGAAATGAATGGTAGGAAGGACAGAATTCGAAATGTCTTGTAAGAGATACCTACAGGGGCGGAGAAAGGGGGCGAGCAGGGGCCTGCCCCCTATGAATGTGAAATGTCCACCTTTTTTGAAATTCAAATAAATTTCTAAATTTGACACTGCTAGCTCCTCTGCCATCAAAAAATCAATTTACTGGCTTCGCCCCTGGATACCCATGTCATTAGCCGAGCAATAAGCACCTGTGCGCTTAGGCTAAGTCCATGTTTGCAAATTAGTAATTTTTAACAATACAATTATGCTTATGATGCTCACTATTTAGTGAATTATATGAAATTGGGTGGTGACACATATACTCCATGTATGTTATCCAAAGGAATAAATCAACAGAATGCTCGGAATTATCGATCGAACAATAAATCCGTGTATAAATTGTATACCTACCTATATTTGAAACACACAAAGTGCCCAATACGAATGCGGATCGAAAAGGCAAATTTTCCGCAAAAAGCAAAAGGGTGCATCGTCCTTTTGTTTTTTAAAGAAACGGAAACGACAGGATAGATGAGAGAAAGGCCCACCAAATAAAATAGTAAATAAAACAGTAGGTAATAATTTAATAAGGAAAGTAAATGCTGCGAGCGGGCGATTGGTTTCTTCTCGGCCTCATCGTCTTCTTCGCCGATCTCTCCCCTCCCTCCCTGGCACCCTCCCACCCCCGTGCTCCAAACCCTAGCAAGCAGCAATCAAGCGGTACCCATGCAATCGTAATCGGCTCGCTGCCTAATCCCCTCCCTTTCTCATCTCATGACCATGCCGGCCTCGTCCCCCTCCGGTGGCAGTGCCTGTGCCCCATCGCCGCCGCCGCCACCGCCGCCGCCGCCGCGGGCTATGAAGCGTGAGCTCGCCTTCGCGCTCCAGTCCCTCTCCGAGATCTCTGCCTCCCCCGGCCGCACGCGCTCCGGCCGCCCCATCTCTTCCCTTCCGGACCCATCGGCATCAGCATCTCTCAAGAGGCGCAAGAGATCCGACCCGTCCGCCCTCGCCCCCGCCCCCGGCCCCGCAGCCTATCCCGTCTCCCCGCCCACGTCGCCTATCGACGCCGAGCCGCCTAACCAGCCCCTCCTTGACATCATCCAACCGCTCCATGGATCTAATCCTCCCACCGCCTCTGACCACCGATCCGATTCCAATGCCACTCAAGAGGTCATTCTGCAATCGATGCTGGAAGCCCCCCAGCCATCGCACGCTGACACTGCAGCAGAGGACTCGGCAATGGAAGTGATTGCAAAGGTGAATCTGCCCGCAGCAGAGGATAGTGCAGCAGAGACTGCAACAGAGGACTCAGCAATGGAAGTGATTGCAAAGCTGAATGTGCTCGCAGAGGATGGTGCATCAAAGCCGCGTGTGGCCGCAGAGGACACTGCAGCAGTAGCACCAACTCTGCTGGAAACCACCATTGCAGATAGTGCATCAAAGCCGAATGTGGCCGCAGAGGATACTGCAGGAGTACCACCAACTCTGCTGGAAACCACCATTGCAGCTGGAAATGACCAGTGTGATAACACAAACTCGAATGGAGCAAGTCTACAGCAGCAGGCCGTCACCATTGCAGCTGGAAACGACCAGTGTGATAACTCAAACTCAAATGGAGCAAGTCTACAGCAGCAGGCCGTGGACAATGTATTACTCTCCAATACTATGCTAGCTGAGGACGCTGCCACACCTGTGGCTGCTGCCGAGCTCAAGCCTGCAAGGCGCTTCACCCGATCACTGCTCAAGAATAATAAACCGGACAAAGAAGAGTCTGCAGCTTGTGAAAGTCAGGCGACACCAGATGGCAGCAAGGATGCCTCATTTGATTTCGCTTTGCTCCTGGAGAAGCCTCAGAGAAGGTTCACAAGGTCGTTGCTCAAGACAAAGGTTGAGAGCAGTTTGCTTGGATCTGACGATGCGCTGGACAGCACATCTGACTCCCCTCCATCAGTGAAGAAGATGGAGATGAAGATGTCAAAGAAAGTTGCCTGCCTCACGAAGCATCCTGGAAACATTAGAGAGCTGCTCAATACAGGCCTGCTCGAAGGGATGCCAGTTATGTACATCATTCCTCATAGCAAGGTATGTGAGAATCAGCCGTAATGTTTTATGAGCAGTTCTTAAGTATGTAGTTACTGCTGCGCTAATGGCTTGCAAATTCATGTTTTACACTTTTTTTTACTGGTTTGACATAGTTTAGTAATATTAAGACAAGTTATCCTTTGTTGAGACAGTACAGTAGGAGTATTTGGCAGACCTTAAACCATGATCCATGACAACAAGTGCAGCTTAAGGATAAAGTTGCCATCGTGGAATTAAAGTTGCTTTGATGACATATTGCCTTGGATTGTTGTCTGTCTGGTTTTTGTATCTCATGCAGTTATTAAGATTAAGTTTATGCTTGCAAGTTGCAGAAGGCTGTGCTAAAAGGAGTGATTACTGGTTGCAATATACTTTGCTTTTGCCTGTCCTGTAATGGCGCCAAGGTTTGTGTTCCGTAGTCTATAAACTGTTAAAGAACAAAAACTGTTCATTTATGCTACTCTCCTTTTCATTTTGCAGGCTGTTTCAGCTTATTACTTTGAACAACATGCTGGAAGCACCAAAAAACACCCTGCTGATTACATTTACTTAGGGAATGGCAATAGTTTGCGTGACGTGCTGCGTGCATCTGACAGATCTCCCTTGGAGGCTCTGGAAAAAACGATTCGTTCTTCCATTGATCCAGTAGTTAAAAGGAGCCGCGTTAATTGTTTGAATTGCAATGGTAAGAACTTCATGTTTTGAGCAATTTTTTAAGTGCAAGTTCCTCTGATACATTTGACAACATCACCTAATGCTGCAGAGCCTGTTCTTCCGTCATCACAAACTGAAAACATACTGTGTCAAGTTTGCCTCGAGTCAAAGCAACCTCAAGATCCTCTTACCGCATCGTATACATGTAATGGCAGTTCGAGGTAAGCAGTTTGAGCAAACAGTGTGCTACATATTCTTGTGCCCAAATAGCTACGTTCTCACTATTGGTTAGATAATTAATAATATGTCCAAGAGATATCTGCCTGATATGGTTAGATGCTAAGTAACTTACTTTTTTTTGGTTCTATCTAGGTTCATAGTTTTAGAGTTTTGATTGCTAATTTTACTTGTTTTATTAAATCATATTTAAGTTCTTGCATTTAGATCTTACTTCCTTCCATCCTTTGTTTTTGGTCTGTAGTCTGACTCCAGGTTCCAAGGAGGCTTTGCTAAAGAACATATCATCAGGCAAGAAGGGTGGGAGTGCTGGCAAAGTAACAAACAAGTTGGTACACTATAAGCATGTTATCTTTCCTTATTTATTATGTGTGCATGAGCTCATTGGTATTTTTTTGGCTACTTTCTTCAGGGATAACAGACTACACAAATTGGTCTTTAATGTTTTGCTTGATGGCACAGAAGTAGCTTACTATGTTGATGGGCAGGTTGTTAGACTAAGGCTATCTCCTGGTTTTCTTCAATTCACTTTGTGTTTTCTTTGGTTTATAATTTGCATTGCATAATGCAGAGAAAGGTTGACGGGTATATCAAGGATCAAAGAATCTACTGTAATCACTGCAACAGAGTGGTCTCATTCTTCTCTCATTTAAGTTATTTCTTCAGGTTCATCGTACATTTTATAAAATAATTAATCTTTCTTTATGCGGAATATTCAGGTTAGCCCATCAGCATTTGAAGCTCATGCGGGTGAGGGATCAAGGCGCAAACCGTAAGTCTTTATGTTCTTGTGTTTAAATTATGCCAACTCAGGGTTATCATGGTTGACCTTACTTTACATTGCTGCTAGGTATGATAACATATTCACATCAAACGGAGTATCATTGCATGAGCTGGCAATGAAAATATCAAAGGATATGGAACTGTCAGAACGCGAGACAGATGATCTGTGCAGAGAATGTGGTCAGGGGGGAGACATTTTCCCGTGCAAAATCTGTCCAAGGTCATTTCATCCAGGTAGTTTTGCAAGTCCTTGGAATTAATTACAAGAGCTGGAATGTTCTTTTTGGTTATTTGTTCGTGAAGTCTTTTTCTTCTTTTTGTGAGAACGGTTTTAACAACTGGCTCGCTTGTTATGCCAACTGCAGCTTGTGTTGGACTGTCTAAAGTCCCCTCCGAATGGTATTGTGATAATTGTCGCAATCTTGTGCAAAAAGAAAAGGCTTTAGCACAGAACAAAAATGCTAAAGCTGCTGGGAGGCAAGCTGGAGTTGATTCCATTGAACAGATAATGAAGAGAGCTATACGGATTGTCCCCATTTCTGATGATCTTGGAGGCTGTGCTCTATGCAAGTGAGTACTGTTTCCTTATATATATATGCTCTATGCATTATGATAAGCTGTGCTTATACTTGATTAATCAATTGTAGCCTGGAATAGTTTTGAGTTTTAGTAGCCAGGGTTCATCTGCATTGCTACCTGTTCAATTTACAGTCTACTTACACCAGTGGGAACTGACTGTCTTATTATGAATATACCAGTGCAGTTAATTCAGCACTTTAGCCTGTAAATAGCTTGAGGCACAAATAAATAAGCAAAAAACCATGCACCCGAGCAAAGGTAGGTGCTCAAATAAACTTCGTATTGTACAGATAATGATTTGGTCATTAGATGATTAGATCATATCCTGTTCAACGTATGCATGTACATGCTCCGTATTTAGACCAGCTGTTTGGCCCGTTCCACATCCACATAAGAGATGTACTTTTGCAAATCACAAATATATTTTCAGCCTGTATGGAAAGCAAATGTTATCCCCATTTGGTCATCTCTGCCCCCCTATCTATTCTTCCCTTTTCTTCATGGCCCCATCTACTTATATTCTTCCCATCCATACCCCCTCCACCTGTCCTCTCATTGGACCTAACCTTACAATATTTTTTGTCAGTTGCCCATGCAATCACCATGAAGCCTTGCTGATAGAAAATGGTGTTCTGCAACTAGAGAAAGTATGCCCTGGAGAGTAGGATGTTGTGCATTAACTGAAATGTGCATGGCCGCATGAGGATGGTTTCTTAAAGCTGACCCTTTTAGTTTAACCATGTTATTTGATGGAGGCTGGGAAAATAAAATTTAGATCTTAAGAACTAGACTAGACTGTCATTTGATTAGTTGACTTGGTTTTTGAATCCCTAAACCGCTTCTTTTAGATTTTTGGTTTTCTTAAATTTCTCCTATGAGAACACAAGAAGCCCTTTTTGCATATGTGGCACAAAAATAGAGTGCTTGGGACCTTTTCTTTTATGCATATTTTTTAACAAGTATTGATCATAGGTATTTTATTCTACCCCAACTTGCTTGGGACTGAAAGCACTGGTACAGAACAAAGCTTTTACTCGGTGAACCCCTCTGTTGTTGCAAGCATCCGGGACTAAATTTCTTTAGTCCCGGGTAGAACGGGATTAAAGGGGACTTTTTCCGGTGGGTAACATCAACGGGACTAAAGGTCCTCCCAGCTTTAAAAAAATAATCCTTCCCACCTGGTGTCCCGTGAGATTGAACCCAAGACCTCATGCATTGCCTCGCCAGCGTAGCTTACCACCCCAACACAACACATCATCGAAAGGATGGGATGGGGGACCTTTAGTCCGGTTGGTATTACCAACCGGGAAAAAATCTTTAGTCCGGGTTGGTGTTACCAACCGGGACTAAAGGTTAGAGACTTTTAGTCCCGGTTGGTGGCTCCAACCGGGAGTAAAGGTCCCCGCCACCAACCGGGAGTAAAGGTCCCCTGCCACTGTGCCGAGCGCAGTAGCCGTTGGGCAGGGACCTTTAGTCCCGGTTGGAGACACCAACCGGGACTAAAGGTCTCTCTAGTCCCGGGCGCAAAAAATGCCGGGACTAGAGCCCATTTTGACCTCGGATGAAAGGTCTGTTCTCTACTAGTGAAGGCTATGTTGTTGTTGTATTGATCATAGGTATTTTATTCTATTGTCCTGTTGAATGTAAAACAGCCATGGGTACAGAATAGTTGTGGGTTGGAAAATCTCTTGGTAAACTTTCAGTAACACGCTTAAGTACAACTGATGCTGTTAGACCCTATGGAAAAGAGTATGCGGGCAGAAAATGGGCTGCTGCCAGCTGTAGAATCTCTTGTTGCAGCTGGTTAGGCTAAAATTAATAGGCAAACCAAACAGCACCTAAAGAAATACTTTGACTAGAAGGCAATACAGAGTTTAAACCCCTGGTACATAATGCCTTTAGCTATCTGGGTTATCTAGGTGAGTTTCCAGCAAGGCAGGATGAAGGTGGCTGGTGCCTAGGCAGTAGGCACTCTTGGCAGTTATCTCTTAGAACAGTGAAATGTGTGATATGTTTTTTGATGTTTGTAGCTGTCAAGTATGCTAGCCTCCTGAACTGCTAGCTGTGCTTTTTTAATGCTAGTTGCATTTTACAGTGTTCTAACTGGTGAAGTTTCTCTGTGCAGACAGAAAGATTTCAACAATGCTGTGTTTGATGAGCGCACTGTGATACTCTGTGACCAAGTATGCTATGCATTTCCTTCTTCTGCAGTGGCTTGATATTTTTGCTTGTACATCGTTATTTATAGTCCAAATATTAAGACATAACACTTCTTCATATGGTTCATTTTTCTCTTAGTTTTTTTGCTCTAAACTAAAGTGCAACATACATGTGCAAGTTTACTGTTATACTTGGCTGACATATTTCTATTTTGTGCTGCTCAGTGTGAGAAAGAGTATCATGTCGGATGCTTGCAGAGTCAATGGCAAGTAGAACTAAAGGTTAGTGCAGAACGACCTTATTATGCAATTGAAATCAGTCATTATCTTAACCTTAGGTTTGCTGTGCATGATATATTCACTTCAGATGGAGTATGATGCCTTTTACCTGGGTGAATGGCTCAATGCTAACACAATACAATTTTCTACAGGAATTGCCAGAGGGGGAGTGGTTCTGTTGCAGTAGTTGCTCTGAGACACGATCTTCATTGGACAAGATAATCTCCAATGGAGCTCAACTATTGGCAGAGCCAGATCTTGAAATCATAAGGAAGAAACATGAGACAAGAGGTTTATGCATGGACACCAGTAAAGATCTCAAATGGCAATTACTTTCTGGTAAAAGGGCTACTGAAGAGGGAAGCTTATTGCTCTCTGCTGCAGTGCCAATTTTTCATGTAAGTCCTGTATTATTTGATCTCATATGTTTTTGTATAGATAAATTTCTGGGTCAAATATCTTTGTTTCATTTCATCCTTTGGACGTGTTTCTCATCTGATGGTAATTTGTTTTGGGTAGTTTGTTATTATGTTGGATAGATGCATCATATCATATGTCAGAAATGTTAGTTGTTTATCAATAGAACTGAGTTTAGCCCAGCTTTGGGTGAGTTCTTTGTTCTTTGTAGCAGTGTAATGCCAAACATGAGCTTGTGGGCGGCTTAAAAAGGAGATTTTCTTTACAATTTTCATATTCTCATCTCAGAACAGAAGAGAAAATAGCAAATGTTTGCTCTGTTGCTAAGAGATTTTGGCTGGAGTAGCAAGTTCAAAGCTTTAGCTGCCAGCTTACCATTATTAGTGGAGGGACATTAGGACTTCTTATCAAACTATCTTAGAATCAAGACTTCAGTGGTTTCTCACCAAGTGTTCTCTTGCAGCAATCTTTTGATCCGATCCGTGAAGCTCTCACTGGTAGAGATTTGATTCCTGAGATGGTTAACGGGTAAGATAACCGAACAACACTTTGTCTTAGAGGTATACAACTGCCTCTGTGAAGGCCCTCATCTCATTTAAATGTACCAGGAGGGGACCTAAGGAGGGAATGCCCGGACAAGATTACAGTGGAATGTACTGTGCACTGTTAACTGTGGGGTAAGAACTGTTATAGTAAAATGGAAAATCGTCCCAACTTTTGCATCCATTGTTACTGAATAATAGTTGATTGTTGCAGCTCTGCTGTGGTGTCAGCAGCACTTATGCGTGTGATGGGAGGTGATGTGGCTGAGCTGCCACTAGTTGCTACAAGCCAGGATGTTCAAGGGCTGGTGGGTCTTAGAATTGCTTTGCTGCTCAATACTAGATTGTTTATTTGGTCATGCGGTTGGTTCTTTGTTCATTGGTTGATGTTTGACCTATTACGCTGATGCAGGGCTACTTCCAAGCCTTGTTCTCATGCATAGAGAGGGTGCTAGTCTCGCTGAAGATCAAGCACTTTGTGCTTCCAGCTGCACATGAAGCTGAAGGGATCTGGATGAAGAAATTTGGCTTCTCTAGGATCCTTCCTGAAGAGGTTAACTACGAAGCCTACCATTCAGTTTAGATGGTGTGTAGATGTAAATCTAATTGATGTTGATGTTTTGCAGCTGGAAGCTTGTCTTAATGGGGCACACCTGACTATATTCCATGGAACGTCATACCTGTACAAGGCTGTTCCAATGTCATGATGTTGGTGTTGCAATAGCTAGCTAGCAAGCAGGATTTTGTCTGTCTTTTGGGGTCGCCATTGTGATGTACATAAAGAGTTGACGTAAGCTAAGCATGGCCAGACATAGCAAGTTCAAAGCAAAGCATGGTATACAGGAGCTGAAGCTAAGGCGAAGAAAAGAGCCAAGGAAGGATACAAGAGGTCACCTTTCTTTCTTTGTTTACTCTTGAATCGAGTGTAGTCGCGCTGGGGTTGGCGAGTGGTGGCACACCTGGCTATTTTTGGTGTAATACTAGATGCAATGCAATTGAAGCAGCCCCACCCAGAGTCTTGGCCCTGGAGACAAATTTTGCAATTCAATTTTGATGTGTTTGACACTGACAAGTGGTGGGGCTTGTATGTGTAAGTAATCGGTGGTGTTAGTTGAACTTGACTCCAAAACTGCTACCAGAGCTATTTTGATGGAGTACTGGAGTGGTTTTACATTCCCCCCCCACATCTAATAACATACATTCCGGTTGAAGCTGCGATATGTACAGGGAAACGCAAATTCGGAGTTGTTTGTAGTTGTTGGTCTGCAGGGATACATGTTTCATATTTATCGCAAAGTTTACTATGCTACCGTCGTGCGGTCCGCGCGTAGGCCGTCACACCCCCTCCCTTCCACGTGATCACACTGCTTGTGCCTCCGCCATGTTGAAGAGGAAGAAGAGGTGGTTGCATTAGGGTTAGGGTTCCGGTGGGTTAGGGAATGAGTCTCTAGCGGCCTTAGCAGGAGGGTTTGGGGGCCGTGGCCACGACACGGCGGTGGAGGCGGACAAGACAACGACGGTGCGGTGCGGCGAGGGAAGGTGGTTGGGTGGGGCTAGCGGCGGGGGCGTTGTGGTGGAGCCCGCCCTAGGATCAAGGTGGGTAGGGTTGAGGGGCGGGGTGGGGGTGAGACGCGAGAGGTGGGCGGCGTGGCTGACGGCGAGGCAACAGCTGGATGAGGGCGGTGGAAGCCGGGGCAGGGGTAGGGGCGAGGATGGCGTCGGCGAGAAGACAATGGGAGGGGCGTCGCGAGGAAGAAGGAAGACAGGTCGCGCGTTTACCAAACGCGTGACCCGTCGCGCATTATCTACCTGGATGTGATGGCACCCAAGGCAGCAGTCAAACAATTGAACTCCGTGGAAGAAAAACTTACAACTAGGTTAGGCATGTTCAAAGGCCAGCTAGAGCAAGTCTAGTAATAGAGCTAAAATGCTTGTTTTTAGGATAATCGGAGGGGAGAAGCACTCCCCACCTACTTGATTGCATTGGAGCAACAAAAGCTTGTTGCTCGGTTACATATGACAGAGTACATTAGAGGATGGGTAGCACAATTTTTTTGTAGGGCTTAATTCATAAGGAAACTACATTACATCAGTGGGCAGCTACACCCTGATCAGCAACAGGCAAGCGAAACTTCCATGGGTTCACGACGTCTTTGCATGCTCCTAGGAGACGATTGTATGAGGGCGCCATATTGTTGAAGACCACATCGTTCCTGTGTTTCTATAACATCCAGCATATCAGGAGAGCTAAATGCTTGGCTGCAAGTCAAAGTTATAAGATATACTCCCTCCGTCCCTAAATATCTGTAGTTTTCGCTTCCGAGAAACAACTTTGACTAAATAAATATATATATATAATATTAATATTTATAATACATAATTAATATCATTAGATAGATATTTGAATCTATTTTTAATAAATTTATTTAGACATATAAATGTTGCATGTATTTTTTGTAAATCGAGTCAAACATTTGGCACGGAAACCAATGGCGACAGTTATTTGGGGATAGAGGAAGTACATGAGTTCTCTTTTATTTACCTAAAAGATAAAAGAATCTTTTATTATCATTTCTATTAATGTCACACCTTATCTCACATCTATTTGCTACCTAGTCCTATCACTGCATAGACTTCCGTATCTAGCTTATTAGCATGAGTCATGCTCTCTCTCTCTCTCTTCCCCCTTCTCTTCTCCACACCAACAAAAATAATGACTAACTTGGCTATAAAACAATTGTTGTGCTTGGTCTTATGGTGTTTTTGTCACCTATCAAGATTACTTGTCTACTCCCAAGTGTAGTATCACATGCACTAAGGGCTTCCCCAACGTATGCACTAGGGCTTTCTCTACGCTATAGTGTGGTGTGCTATTTCAACATACTCCCTCCATCTAAAAATAAGTATTCATCCCATATTTCGAGGAGTCAAATAAGCTCAATGTTTTGACGTAGATTAACCATATCATGTATTTTTATAGTAAACTTATTTGAAGATACATGTGTTGATACTATTTTTACAAACCTAGTCAAAGTTGAGATTGACTGACTTCTTGAAATGTGACATGTCAGTATAAAAAATCCATGTCACATCAAAGTGTAGCCCTAAAGTGGCAGACTTTTGTAGAAGTATCCACAGCTTGCATTTCTTGCTTCAACATTATTTTCCGATGCCTCAACGTCCCAATGACTCGAATCAACTTCTTCTTCTCCCCCGACCATCTCGCTCTCTGAAAACAAAAGTCATCCTGGAGTTTCCATAAGCCCTAAAGCATAACCACGCATTAGTAACACCATTTTTTTGCTCAACCAGAAGCGTGCAAATGATTCAAAATCTTGGCCTAGCTAGACACTTAGGATTTGTTTGGTTTCCTTCACAGGTAGCCTGCATCCCATCTAGCCAACCAGGCTCCCTCTAGCCAAGCTGTGGTTATGCATATCATTGTTGTTTGGTTCATATGCTCATGCTGCCCGTTCAAGCTAGGCCGACCAAAAACCTGCAAGCCAGGCTGCGGCGCGCTGGTGTAGGGTCGAGATGGTGGACTAGAGGGGGGGGTGAATAGTCCTTTCTAAAACTTAATCGCGCCGGCTAACCAAAACAAATGCGGAATTAAAACTATCTATCTAGCCAAGACTACACCACTCTATCTAAGTTCACAAGCACATTAAAAATATCCTAATTAGGCAACAAAGGTGCCGGTCTAGCTAGAGCTTACCTAACCAATTCTAAGAGCAAGGCCACACAAACCTATGCCGCTAGTACTTCAAGCAACCGGGGGAGGTCCTACACAAACTAGTAAGCAAAAGCATAAAGCTCCTAAGCTCACTAGCAATATTCAATAACAAGGCAACTAATGCCAAATTAGAGAGCGCAAATTACTTAGCTACACAAACTAAGCAATGTGACTAACAAAGTTACTAAAATCAAATTAGCCACGCAAAGGAGCTACTTTTATGCTACACAAGCAAGAAGGGAACTAGCAAGCTACTAAAGCTAAACTAGTCACAAGAGCAACTACACAAGCACAATGTATGAAATGTAAATACAAGCTTGTGTTGCGCGGAATGCAAACCATCGAGAAGATGATGAAGACAATGTTGACACGGTGATTTTCTCCTGAGGTTCACTTGGTTGCCACCAAGCTACGTCTCCGTTGTGTCGACCACTCACTTGGTGGTTCGGCGGCTAATTGGCATCACCCGCCAAGCCCGCATGTCGGGCACCACAAGAACCTACCCCGAAAGTGAGGGTAGCTCAATGACACGCTCAATTAGAGTTGCTCTTCACGATCCCCGCGGATGAGCACAATCCCCCTCACAAATCCTCCTCTGGAGCATCGCACAATCTTCTCGCGTGCTTCAACGGAGTCACAAGCCACCAAACCATCTAGGAGGTGGCAACCTCCAAGAGTAACATGCACCATCGGCTTGCAACACGATCACCTAGTGCCACTCGATGCAACCTCACGATGCAATCGCACTAGAATCGCTCACTCACTCGATCGGATGATCACTATCAAGCACAAGTGAGTTAGAGAGATCCCAAGCACACATACACAAGCCACCAAGGCTTAAGGGTGCTCAGCAACCAGCCCAAGCCTGAGCTCCACCTCTATTTATAGCCCCCAAGCCAAATAGAGCCATTGGAGCAAAACTGTTGGTTTTTGCGAGGGCACCGGACACGGCGGTGCCCTCCCTAATGGTCGAATTCCAATGGCTAGAAACTAGCCGTTGGTCACCGGGCAGCTAGGGGCAGTGCACCGCCATAGGGGTGGCGGTGACCCCCAGCCAACTGAAAGATCCTTGTTGGTTTTGGTAATTGAGTGACAACCTAGGTGGACTAATTGTGTTTATGTGAGATACACAGGTGATTAGTCCATAGGTACATGTGTATGAGCAACATATGCCATGGAGGTGAAAATGGCTTGGAGATGTTGCAAAGCTCACACATGTGATGATGAAGGAGCTTATTGCACATGAGACATGACATTGAGTCATGTGATCAAGGTGGAGAGGATCAAGACAAGACTTGGCTTGATGGACTGGTTGCAAGCGTGAAGGGCAAGTCAAAGGCTTTGGAGTGATGGACCGCATGGCGGTGAAGCTTGAGCAAGACTTGGCGCCGATGGACGATAACAACGGTGAAGAGCAAGTAGAGTCAAGATCGATGAACCAATATGATCATGTGATGATATGAAGTGGATCATATCATTGTTGATCGTGTTGGTGCATGTGTTGCATCGACATTGAAGGAGATGGAATGGAATGCGCAAGGCAAAGGTATAACCTAGGGCATTTCATTTCACCGGTCATAGGTGTGTAGAGAAGTTTATGACCGGGTTTAGGATAGATGGCCATACTATCAAGAGGGGCAAACTTGTTTGCATATCGGTCATCTAGTGCCACTCGAGTGATCCAACTTTGCATTGTCGCTAGGATCGAGTGGCGTGGCAAGTTGAGTGGCTAACATCCTTTGGGAAATGATTGTGAAAATGCTAACACACATACACATGGTGGTGTACACTTGGTGGTGTTGGCACATTTACAAAGGAGGTGGTGTTTGTAGGGGTGAGATGGGTTTGGGTCCCTCTCTCCCTCCCGCCGAGCTTGCGAGGCGGGATTCGGCGCTTTCGGGAAAATAGAATGCCTATTTTCTATTGCGTCGGATGCAAGTTCTTGTGGTTAGCACATTGGAGCAAGGGTGATGA